TAGTGACACAGTAAGCCAACCGCTTGTGTGCATTTTTGTGTAAAACACACCCACTCATTTGCATATTCATGCCAAAGCTCCTGTCATGTGTTGCCTTATTTGCATACAGTGGATTTGATTTGCCACCTTGGGCACTTACAGGCTCCTCCCATGCCCTTACCATGCTGGAATCTCATTGGCTGTGGAGCTGCTGTGATTGAAAATATGTTAATTTGATCAGCCACATTGTAATAAGAAGTGTGATTTTATTTTGCTTCATTTGGATTGTGATTCCTTCTTCCAAAAACATGCTCTCAAAAAGTTATCACAATATTTGTCGATGTTAAGTTTGAAATTCTTTTACATTATATTTAAGTTTTTGCCCTGCCTCATCTTTCCTACAACTAGTGATGAAATGTAATTATGTTTTCATTGTTTTTAAATTGTTGATACAGGTAATTCAAGTACGGCATTTCAATATTTTGAAGTGTCAATCCATGTGTATACATTGCTGTTCTTTGTGCATTTTGCTTTTTGTTGCAGCCTTTAAAGCTACAGTCCATCATTTGCAGCTACATGTATCCAAAAAGTAACTGACTTATTGTTGAAAAACATACTTGGTTGAAAGATAGTAAGGGGACTAAACTCCCTGTGAAATTGTTCTTTCTGGTAAGCTGTCATTTTGAAGAAATCAACGAAAGAAGGCCTTTATGTTGGAAATGTCTGTTAGTAGTTCGTTTTTTTTTTATTCGGCGAAGCACGCCAAAGCGTTGGCATGACGCACACGCGCGTGCAGTTGCTCTCAGTCGTGGGATCGGTGCATGACATCTCATTGCTGCAATCGGCTCAGTAAGAACGTGTTTGGGACGCTGAATTCAGGCCCAATTCAAAACATGATTCAGCAACTTTTGATTTGAAATCTAGATCCCAGAATGCTGTTTTTCTCAGAATATATAGCTGAAGCTGAGCTGAAAATTCATCAGGTTAGTTGTTCAGCACTCTTCTTTAGATTTTGAGCTTGTTTGCTGCTTCAAACGAACAAAATGCACAAATTACAAATGATGGACTGTACCTTAAAAAAACAACACATTTGAAATTTAAATTAGTTCTGGTGTAGCTGTTTTTGATTCATATTTGAACAACAATTTGCATATTTATGTATAAAAATTTGCAAAAAAATTTACCATGAAAGGTGAAAACATTTTATTCACAGTTCGGAGGAATGAACTTTTGCTCAATTTTTTTTTAATTTGTCAAATTCACTTCATGTTCGTAAAGTTTTCATGATAGATGCTTGATTTTTCCAGGGCCAGAAAAAACCCCGAGAAATTGGTGCATTGCCAGCTGTACTTATATAAGTTTGCAATCATACGTACATGGCCCTAAGTGTGCACACATTTTATGTGTTGGCAGATCACGGGTGACGTACAAACCCTAAGGAAAGGTTAGAATATTACCACGTGTGAAATGATGCATTTATCTCTGAGGGGGAAAGATTTACAGGTCTAGTGGAGGTGGAAGCTATATTCGAAATAAATTTACGTACAGTGACAGTGTAAATGTATTGGCATATTGTGCTGTGTGAAAATTGGCCATTTCCATTCTCAAGATTTCACTAGTAATATCCATGCCGTTTTGCTCTAAACTAAAATTATTAAAGAATAAATTATTTCTAAGCTGGAAATTATAATTTGTAATAAATCTGAATATTAGCTCATTAAAATGTACTTTGCATATTAAATGGAGCATTAAAGGTGTCCATCATTTGTGCATTTTGTTCGTTTGAACAAACGTGCTCAAAGTCTAAAGAAGGGTGCTGAACAACTAACCTGATGAAGTTTCAGCTCAGATTCAGCTGTGCATTTCGAGAAAAACAGCATTCTAGTATCTCAATTTCAAATCAAAAGTTGCTAAATCATGTTTTGAATTGGGCCTGAATTCAGCGTCCGAAACACGTTCTCAGTGAGCCAATTGCAGTTACGCGATGTGGCGCAGCGATCCGACGAATGATAGCAACTGCGCGTGTGTGCATCATGTCAACGCTTGCACGCGCTTCGCTGAATAAAAAAACGAACTACTAACAGAAATTTCCAACGGTGCATCTTAAGACGCAATGTTGAAAAGGCCTTCTTTCGTTAGTCTCTTCAAAATGACAGCTTGCCAGAAAGAATAATTTCACAGGGAGTTTAGTCCTTTTACCATCTTTCAACCAAGTATATTTTTCAACAATAATTATGTCAGTTACTTTTTTGATAGCTGCAAATGATGGACTGTAGCTTTAAATTTAAAATAATCACCAGAAGTGTGAAAAATTGGCCTTCTTGAAGTATGGTTTTAAAGCATAATGACTCGAAGACTACAGTGTAGATGTAGACTGCACTACATTATAAGCCTTGTAATAATTAGATGTAAACATACAATAATAAATTGTACTCCAGAAGCCCAGAGGATGAATCCTGCATATATAATCACCAGAAAAAAAATCATAATTCTAGTTGGAATAAAAAAAAAAATTCCAGGGTAACCTGAACGGTCCTTATGAACTTGAGAAGACCGTACACGTACCTGGCGAATGGACTTTGAATTCTATTAACTGTCGTCGGTGTGAAAACGTATAACCATTGACTGTTCCTTGTCGTGCAAATGCTGCTTATGGATTGCCTACTGAAAAATTATGGAGATAATTGTGAGAGGAGTATTGCTAAGGAACAGACATGCTACATGTACATACACGGACGAGACTAGTCTTGGCTCAAGACGTCAGTGATCAAGAGCGATAGTTTCAATGATCTGTAGCGCCCTTGCATAATTGATTTCTTATATTCTCTCACTAGTCTTGGTCATTTTGTAGCAATGGCATGAATGGGGGCGTGGCCATTTTATGTAAATTGGAACGTCTGTATAAATTTGAACAAAACGGCAGTTCCCATTTGCCGCAGTCATTGGCGCCTTCACGCCCTGTATCACAGCGTCGCAAATGTTTACAACCGTCGGGCGAGCTATCAAACTGTTTCTCGATCGCTGATTGGTTCCTTAGGAAAGCGATGATGCTGGCTCACCATACGCGTTGGGAGAGCCTTTGAACTATTTCTCGATCGCTGATTGGTTCCGTAGGAAAGCCTATACGGAGAAAATAAAGAAAAATTTAAACCGCTGATACGAAATGGCCAAGAGGTTAGTGCGAGTAGGCCCGCTGGTCTAATTGTTGTGCCACTAGAGGGCGCACTATGCACCATCCACTATCAATCACTAGCGTCTGGGGCCAAGACTAGTGCGAGACATCCCAGTCCTTTATATTATAATTACTGTTTCCCGTTGCTGGCCTGGACAGAAATCATAATTCATTTTCTATCGACTCTCTTTCAGTTTCGATGGTAATGTTTGAATGGAAAAGATGCGTCCCGGACTCTGACTTTTTTGTCTGACAATTAGATTTGTGGAACTCGCAAATGATTATTTCGTACTTTTCCTCCTTTTGTGGGTTGGTTATGTGTGGAGGTAGCCTCATAATTGAATCAAGAAGCACTCCTTTTTTTGCAGGAATTGATGCCTTTCTTTGGCCGACAATATGTGATTTCATAAAATTAAATCAAGGCCCCGCTGTCGTGCATTTTCTTGCATTTTCAAGCATTTCCTCACTCAGCCCTGTTTTAAATTCAGGGTTTTTTATAACGCTACGTTGTACAGTGGGTATTTTTTGCTAGATTGACAAATTCTGTCTATAAAATACACAAAAATCTACAAATCGTTGAAAAATCGTCATCAGTTGTTCATCAGTCATTCTATAAATTTAGGGTCCAAAGTTTAATATTTTTCCTGTCCGCGTTACTTCTGAACTTTGTAATTTTCCATTCAAGTCTCATTAAGAATTACATGTACTTTAAACAATTTGTTTGTTCGTTGGGTAGTTTGCTATTCATAATCACTCTTGGAGGACCACTGCATTAAGGAGTGCATCAGAATTATAAAATCATAGATGCTGGATGTACATGTAGATGTAACAGGAACTGGACAAAAAAGTGGATTCTAAATTCATGGAATGACCCATGTGCATACATGTACCGATACTTAGATTTCTTATTAATGTTTCAGTGCATTTTCCCACAATCAGTAAACTGCCTATGCATGCATATATGTAAAAATGATACTTGAAGAATTTAGAGGAGCCAAAAAAAAAACCAGTACAATACATTCCTGAAAAAAAAACAGGACATAGAGTAATGACATAAACATTGTCAAAGCAACATCAATTTGTCATGCAACAAATCTAATTTCAGTACCTCTATGAATCATCCCCCATACCGTCCCTTAGATATTTATAACGAACGTTGCACGCATATTCACTCAAAGAAATAAACGGAAATACCGGAACTTGTACACATTGCAAACCTTGGAAGTAGAACAGACTAACGACTTTACCACTGTCAAGAAAACATCAATCCGTTAGACATATCCAACTGAAATTTTCCATAAAACCATTCCCCATTAACCCTTTCTTGTGAGACAGAAATGATCCAATATGTAAAACAAAACAAAGGAGTTGTATGAATACTCATACATATTTGTGTATTTCCTGATAAGAATTGAAAACAAAAATTCTTAATTGAGCAGATGTTCATGTTTATGTATAGAAGTATAGGTATACATGTACATGTATATGTACATGTATCTTTAAGAAGTACATTGTCATAAAGTGTGCAAATGTAGACTAACGACCAAAACACTGTTAAGAAACATCAATCCTTCTTGACGTCTCCAACAAATTTACATTCCTTTTTGACATACCAAACTTGAATACACACGTGAAGCATTCTTCCGTAACCGACCCTTTCCCTAAAAGATAAACGATCCAATTTAAAAAAAAAAAACTGTAATTGTAACTATATAGCGTCAGTGTGAAGACGTGTCATGGTTATCAATCCATCCTCTGACAATCATTTCTCTTTCTCGATTTCTCTCTCTCTGTTGAAAAACAAAAAAATTCCCGTTGGCTGGATCCCCGTGTGGCGGTGTGTGTTTAGATGGTGAAGTACCAGCGGTCTTCCTTGAGCGGTGCTGACGAGCTGTCGGATCATGACCAGGCCACAGTCACGGCTCTGCCCAACAGCCAGCCGGCAGCCCACAACCAGAACTCCACTGCCTCAGGATTGGCTGAGGGTGATAGCTCGAACGGGAAGATGGGGGAAAATAACTGCACCAAGGTAGGCTTGATCCCGGCAGGATACTGATAAAAAAATCCTTTCATTTCATTTTTTTTGTCCGTACAATGCCTGGCGTGAGTGAAGTGGCTGAGAGAAAGTGCATATCGGATTGCTATAGTTGCATAGTTGTAGGTTTTGTGTTTGTGTTAGTTGCACATGTAAGTGAAACAGTCCTTTTTAAGCTTCAATAGGAGATGCAGAATTTTCCAAAGGGGTTGCTGGGATGTTGGGGTCCAAGATATTTCAGGGGGAGGAGGGGGAGGGGAGGGTATAATGATGATAATTGGCATTGCAGTCAACTCACAAAAAGATCAAAGGCCTGAAAGCAATTAATCAACGTTGCAATATCGATTGATGATGTCACATTCCGGGAACTTGGGTGTTGAGATTTGTTTTCAATTTTGTAAATAATAAACATAATTTACATTTCGTTTGAATTGGGAACATTATGATAGAAGAAAGAAGCCGAATTCAGATAGGGAGTTCTAAAACAGGCAGTGCGAAGGAAAACAGCTTGACGAATATCTTACAGTGCTAGCTTTGCTATACCTGATTGTTCATCATTAAAATTATCAGTGCACTAAGGCCAAAAAATTAAAATATTCGGTCTCTGGTCAGACCAAAGTTCCGGAATTGACGCGGCGACGCGGCTGTTTTTTTTTTTTGCTTTTTTTTTTTTTCTTCAAGCTTGAATTGTACAGACAAGGTGGGGTTCTATTTTGCTTTTTTGGTGTCCTCATGTACATTGGTGTCCTCCATAATTTGCCTTGGTGCTTTCGATCATTTGCCTTGGTGCAATTTCCCATTCCTTTGTGCTCTTTGGTAAAAAAAATTGAGGAGGTGCGGAAATAGAGGGCGCTGTTGGAGCTACCGCAGAACATTTTGGAAAAACAAAAGATCGACGCGCATGATTAAAATCGACGCGCGCGCTGGCCAGAGACCGACTTATTTTTTGGGGGGGCCTAAGATAAAGATAGAAATTGTGAAATTGTACCTGATACATGTAAGGTACTTATCATTTCCTGTTAGTGCATTTTTTGTTTAAAGCAACAAAATTGCTCAAATTCTTTAGACAGCTGCATAACAGCTATAAACCTGTGGAAGTTTATATGTAGCTCAGAGGCTTCTAAACATTTTTTGAGAATACGGAGAATAATTACATAATATAGGATGGCTTTGAGGTGGATACAAGAATATATTGCATGAGCTATGACAATATTGCACAAGTCGAAGACGAGTGCAGTATTGTCATAGCGAGTGCAATATATTCTTGTATCCCCCCCCAAAAAAGCCATCCAATAATATTATTATTATTTATATCAGGCTGACTTTATTCGCAAGAAATACAATTCAAGACACTGTTTTGATTTCATCTTGTTCGTCAAACTATTTGAAACTGCCATTGTAATTGTTGACAACAGTGCGCGTATACCTGGCCTGCTGCGCGCCGCATGCTCGCTGCGTGAGCGTCTGTGTTGGATGGGACGTGCGCTACGCTCTGTTGACTGGTTGACAACTGTGAGTTTCTACGCTCTTGATCATGCGGGAACCAGGGAAAAACCTAGATGACGGCGCGCCAGACAATATCAAAATTATTGCTGTCATCCGGGTACGTTTTACAAAAGCATACAATAGGTCTCATTCAAATGACGTCGTTTCCTACAGACCATCCATGTGCATCAGCATTTTTGAGTGTCAACTTGCATAACGCGCATCAGCTGTGTCGTATTTCGAACACATTTCGAGCAACAAGCACGCGTGTTTGGAACACGCAGTTGCAGTTCTCCTACAGATATGGCCGTCATTGAGCGAGCCCTATACGCCGAATTATTTTTACCGCTCGAAGCCTCATATAAACAATAATGCAAAATGTTTTGGGATTTGTAACTGGATTCCGTTACTAATCAGGCTAACTGAATGCATTGCACATAAAAAGTGTGCCCGCAGGCCCGCTTGCTTTGAAACCACTTTCAATGTTTGTTTTCTACAGAGTGATACTCCATTTCAGACGTAAAAATTTCACTGGATATTCCATACCAGTCCTGTCTTCATTTTCAGCAAGATTTCTGTCACACTATCTGTTTAGTAATTGTCAAGGCACACATAATTGCAAATCCTACCAGACTTTAATTTGTTCACTAGGGAGTCATTACATGTTTTTCACATGTAGTTCATGTTCACAGAACTAGGCCGTGAAAAATCTGGTCAAAATTAAGGTAGTGAATAATTCAAAAACCAGATGTCGAAACCATAGATACGTTTTATTAGTAATGGTAGACCTGATGCATCTAGACACGTATACTATATTGGTGATATTAAAGGGGCCATGGGCTGAATTTTTCTTCGGAACACATTTTATGCAACTTTTTACTCCTCTTAAAATGCATGAAAACTATTTGACTTTCCTTTTTGGTTAATTTTATTGAGTAGTGCACTTCTTTAAGCATTAAAATTTGTCCATGCTTTTCCGGACAATTAGGGTGCTGTTGCGGTGATGTCATTTCAGGAAGACACTGTTCAGTTTAGGGGTTTTCTGTTCAAAATGTGAAACCAAAAATGTGTTTATTGTCACTTCAAAGGAAAAATATAACTGAATTTACAATCTCTTTTACATGTATACAACGCCTGTGAATAAATCCCTGTCGCCTGATTGGTAGGTTGTTGATCACATGTCATTGAATTGTCCATTGCACGGTAAAACTTTTGGCGGCTCTGACCAATCAGATGATGCAAATTAATTCAGGTTTTGTAGAAAACAAATAATGAATGTTTCACATTTGTGCATTGGAACAAATACATGTAATTTCATTCGGTGACAGATGGAATGTTCCATTCCACTCGGTTTCACCTCATGGAATGGAACATTCCATCTGTCACTCATGAAATTATTCTTTCCATTGCACTCATAAACATTCATAATTTGTATGATAACTTGATTTTGCTGTCCTTAAATTCCTGAATCTAGCATTTCATTGTTGTTCCTGTGAACTGAGGATTTTCTGACTTCCCCCAGGTACCAGATGTGCACTACAAAAACTCCAATGCCAACAACATCAAGTACATCAAAGGGGAGATGGGCGGGCCTTCGGGGAAGCTGAGTGGGCGGACGTTACTGGAGAAGATTCTGGTGGTGCTTTGCGTGGTGCTTTTACTTGTAGTGCTCATCCTTGCCATCTTGTATGCAATCGAAAGGCAGGAAGGTGAGTTACCAGACTCATTCGCAATGTATTTTCTCGTCATACATTTATGGGCAATTCCACTCCAAAGTGCATGGGCACAGCTGAAAAAAATGGAACAGTTATTAAGTCTTCAGAACTACAGGGTGTGTCAAGAAAAAGAAAACCCAATGGCATCCCCTATTTTGTAATGAAGTTCTGCATGCAGCGCTTTCCAGATCTAGGATATGAAAGCCCAACTAATAAGCTTTCTTTTAGTACAAGAATCATTCAAATCACCCATGTACTTTTCGAGTTATGGAATTTTGAACACAGATCACTTTTTAGGTACGTGACATTTCAGTAAAATGAAACGATGTATCATAAAAACGATACCAGAATAGTCGCATAAGTCTCCATGGCAGCCAGGTAGAAGGTAGGGCAAGGCTATAAACTCTTGACATTATGAAGTATGTTGTTTTAACATTGGAAGCAGAAGGTGTTTAAATAAAGGTTATGATAAGAGCCAGTCATCATGGTTATGAGAGTGTTCTGATTTTTTTTAATATGTGACTTATTTTCATTTTGCTGAAATATCACTTACCTTTATTGTGATCCATGGACAAAATTACAAAACTGTGTGTGTTTAAAAATCCATAACTTGAAAGTACATGAGCGATATGAACGATTCTTTTACTAAATTAAACTTATTAATTGGACTTATACATCCTACATCTTGAATCTTGAATCTTGGGGTCAAATGAGGTCATTGTTGATTTTCAACTGAAAAGTGTGCCTACTAACTGACTGTATAAATACTGCCAGCATGCCGGGGGATCGCCCAAGTTTAACTTGCAGTATTTTTTAGCAATACAAAAGTTAGTCGCTTTTGGATTAATGACACGTGTACATGTACATCGAGCAAAAGTACCTGCCCATGTTTAGTTGTGGATTAAGTTCCTTTGCAATGTTCAAGCTTTTCGCAGCTCGACAAGAATCAAAGCGTATTATTTTTGTTCATCATTGGTGCAAAGAAACCAAAATAAAAGCTTATTTTGCAGAAGGTTGAAAACGTCCAAAATGGAAAAAAAATAAAAAATTGAATTATTAAAAGTAAAATTGTAAAATCATTAGCCACAGTTTTTTTTAGAGAAAAAAGAAAACACCAAAAACTATTTGAAGGAGTAATAGTTGTACTTTACTGCATCAGGTTTTTCGTCTTCCTGGGGAAAACATTTTTTAAAAAATGAACTGATGTCAACCGGTAGCGCTAGCGGAGATGGATTTGTCGTGAGCATCAATAAATCTCCCGTCGAAATTGAAACATACAATATTCATGCGTGTACTCTAATGAGCCGCAGCCGAACCGTTATTGTAGGATATGCATTAATGATAGTGCACTGGCTGACTAGCTGGGAAACAGAGTGTAGGAACAAGCATCGTGGCGTGAAGAGTTGGTTTAAAGGTGCACTTCTGTTTGGAGATCGCCAAAATCAAGCCAATATTGTTTACACTTCACAGGCCATGTACAGTACGTTGTACATCTATTTAAAGGCGTAGGTCACAGAAGCTTTAGTGCCCTGAAAATTTGGGTGAAATTTTATTGTTGGGTCAACCCTCGGGGCCCCTCATAACATGTTGGTGCACCCCCTCCCCCTCCACTCCCCACCACACCCCCCCTAGGCCCCCCTGAAGACACTATTGCTTTGTGCACATTCAAAATATAATTAGTCATGCATATTTTGCGCTATATGCGTGAGAACCAGTACTCAGACGCTTTGTCCAAAAGGCCCTCTCTTGTTCGTGCATGGAGCAGATATATCTTTATAAAGATAGGGCCTATTTCAAACTGATTTATTTCCCAAAATGGTGCATTGTGGATGAAAGTGCCCCTTTAAGGACAAAAATGGGCAGTGTACTGTTACTGCACTTTTACTTTCGAATGCTTGCCGGAAATTATCTAGGAAATATGAACGGCTCATTTGTTCTTGTTTCTGTTGTTTTTAAGGAATGCTATTGTACTTTTTTGGTTCTTCCTGATTAATATTTTCTTCGCTGCTGACATTTCCATGTCCTTTCTCAGTTAATTACTTTCATGCAGATGTAACATGTGTAAGTACAACGTACGTCAAAAGTCAATCTATGTGTATGATAATTAATACATGGAACAGAAAAAAATCTTCTTATTCGCATTCATACTTTGTAAAGTATGGCATATGTACATGTACATGTAGGCCTTAATACATGAACATCTTCAGCTTTGGGCTCGAGTTAATTCTTCCCAAATCATCTTACAAAATTCAGAAAAGAAGTTATGGTCATATTTTGGCGTCAGATCACATTAGTATGTACGATAAAAAAAAACTTCCTTCTGTCAAATGTATAAAAACCAAAAAGTCTGGGCCCATGAGGCAAGTCAGTAATTCTCAACGTGTCTCCAGTATGACTAGACATCCTAAGCACTAGTAGCATGAGTGTCCGAAGGGGGAAAAATTGAATTAAGCTCGAGGGAGTTTTTACTCTTGCTAGATGATTTGAATACTCTCCCTAGGCAAGTAGTGAGAAAGAAATATACATGTGTGACAATGTGTGATTGCATTATCAAATGAACAAGCCTTGTTCATCTTGAGGCAATGCAAATCATGTACACATACATGTACATGTACAAATTCATTAAAGATCCCACATTTACATTAGTCTATGTAATAGACCCTGGCCCTGGTGAAGCTGACCATGGTCTATGATACATAAACAGATTCGGCGATTAATTACGCAACTAGACTGCGCATGACCTCGAGAAACTGACCAATCAGCAGACGCCTTCTATACGCGCGTAATTCGAGCTCCCCGCGTGCGTTGACATATCACGCCAACAATGAGTAGCATTTTTGTACAGGTTGTTGTATTACAAAAACGCGGCATAGAAATTGACCAATCACAATCTTAGTCCTGATTTCGAAATGAAATGATGTCACGCATGCTTTGATATCTCAGACGTTATACAGGAGACTGGGCTTTGACGGCACTGTGGATTTCAAATTCTTTTAAGGGAATTTGAGGGAGATTTTGAAATGCAGCATTAATCCACTAGTTGGACTTTTTATTTGTGATTTTAATGCAAATTTCCAATGCCATCAGTGCTGGAAGTTTTCGACTCCTTTAGTTGAACAGATTTACATTTTTTCCTTCTTTTTGTGGAGGGGGGGGGGGGGAAGGGTTATTGTTGATTTATTTAAAAAATCAAACCAAATTAGATGGCCAATCATTTTGATTCTAGCCGAACCTTTCTCAAAGGTAAAATGAGTACAGTAACAAACAAGTAAGAGACACTAGTGCATGAATTACAATTTACACTGAAAGTTACAATGTATGCTGTAAAGCTACACATGTATAAAACTCACTGTACACGCTTGTATCTTACATTGTAAGTAGCGATGCACCAATATGATAGTACAATCTCAACAGCAACTTCCGATATTTGAGGTTTGGGATTGGGTTTCTTTAATGGATACCCAGATATTCATGGTTTTTTTTTAAATCGGTCCACGGTTCCCATACTACCTGTAAATGCACACCTCTACCCAAATTTTGAAGACATATGCTAGTTTCCCAAGATGAAGTCTTCAGGATTTGGCAATACATGTAGAAATCTTGAGTCCACCCCCATTTTCAACCCGCTGGACCTCCCCCTCCCCCCCCCCCCCCCACACCCCTGGCTCAGACAATTTTACAGCTGGATTTGATGTCCTGTAAAATTAAACACTCTCATTTTAGGTAATTTAACCCCTCTTACATGTCTTAATACATGCACATAAATCAGTAGATTGTACTCATTTTCAGAAAGCTTTTAAGAGTGGGGAAAAATGGACCATATTACCATAAATTGTGATCAAAATGCGTTTTACAAAACCCACGCAACCCACGCACGTAAAATGTCAACACTTTGCAAAATACCTCTGAGAGCACCAAGTTAACAAAATCGATGGTAGTAAAACGGCCAAATGCCAGTAACCAAAATATCCAAAGTAAAGAAAGAAACAAAAGTATGCAAACTTGAAAAGTTGAGCGTGTATGTGTTTAACGACCTGTGTATGGTAATTCATTAAATTGGTGAAATATCGTCGGGCCTTAATGCACCATTATCGCTGGGGGGTTTAAGAGCAGACATCAGTGTGTTGTAAGTGGTGTTTGAACAACTGAGAGGCGAAAGATTTGGTTGAGCTCTTTGCGTGTGTGCGGAGGTGAACATTGAAGCGAGAGTAGTTTTCGTTTGCAGCAGCAGGATTTACTGGATAAGAGGGCTGCTTGAACGTCGCTGCATTTTTGATGAGGGAAAATGCCAATATTGAATATTGATCATCCACAGAATGTTTGAAATACTTTTTAGATCAAATGTTTAAAAAAATGTGAGAGGTCTTGAAAAGATAAAAGAGACAAGAAGATGAAGAAAAAAATGTTTCTTTTAATCTTTGAAAGTTTGCATCTTTAAAAACTTTCAAATATCAGCTAGTCGACTATCGCCAAAAAAAAATGTATTATACACGTGCTTGGAAATCCCAATAAGCGCCTTATTGAATGCCTGAACAGGTGGAGATTTGAGATTTTAAGTCGAGATTTTGAGATTGTCAATAAAAAGATCTAAGAACTGTTAAGTAAGGTACGTGCACACATATTATGTAGACCAATCTTGGCATGCTATCAGTTCTATCACGAAGGCCCCCTTCAATGGCGAAGGCATTGTGCCAGCTATTGTTCAGATAATCCATCATGGGGCAGATGCTTTGTACAGTAGCATGCACAATGGTTTCTCCATTGAAGGGGGCTTCGTGAGTGAACAATGATCACATGCCCGGATTTGTCTACACTATATGCAAAAAACTCTCTCAATTACACTTTTTAAACCTTCCTTTCCATTGCGTGTAATCTTTCCGGACATCCTTTCTCTCAACTCATTTGTTTCCTCTCGTGCTGAGATACATGTCTCATAAATGTTTTCCTCCCTTCGTATCATACGGAGAAGCTACGCACTCCGCAAAGGTTAATTG